AAAAAACTTAAAATATCTTCTTTCAGAAAACCATAAGAGCTAGAGCTTAAATATTTGGCATGAAACATCATCTAGTCAGTTTCTACCAAGTTTGTTCAAATAAATGCCCCCGGGTCAAAATTGGCCCCGCCCCTTGGGGTCATTGATTTTCCTTATTTGTATATAGTAAAACTTAAAAAATCTTCTTTTAAAAACCCTAAATAGCTAGAGCTAAGATATTAAGCATTAAACATCTACTGGTGGGTGTCTACCAAGCTTGTTCATATAAATATCCTGGGGTAAAAATTGGCTGAACCCCAGGGGGTCATTGATTTTCCTGATTTTGTATATAGTAAAAACTTTAAAAAAATCTTCTTTTAAAAACCCCAAAGAGCTAGAGCTAAGATATTTAGCATGAAACATCTTCTAATGGGTGTCTACCAAGTTTGTTCAAATAAAAGCCCTGGGGTAAAAATTGGCCAAGCCCCAGGGGGTCATTGTTTTTCCCTATATGTATATAGTAAAAACTTAAAAAATCTTCTTTTAAAAACCCCAAAGATCTAGCTAAGATATTTATCATGAAACATCTTCTAATGGTTGTCTACCAAGTTTGTTCAAATAAGAGCCCTTGGGTTAAAATTGGCCCGCCCCAGGGGTCATTGATTTTCCTTATTTTTGTATAGTAAAAACTTAAATAATCTTCTTATAAAAAACCCAAAGAGCTAGTTTAGAGACTTAGCATGAAATATCTTCTAGTGAGTGTCTACCAAGTTTGTTCAAATAAAAGCCCTGGGGTAAAAATTGGCCCGCCCCAGGGGGTCATTGTTTTTCCCTATATGTATATAGTAAAAACTTTAAAACTCTTCTTATATAAACCCCAAAGAGCTAGAGCTTAGATATTTATCATGAAACATCTTCTAATGGGTGTCTACCAAGTTTGTTCAAATAAAAGCCCCTGGTTTAAAATTGGCCTTGGCCCAGGGGCCTATATACAGGTGAGCGATTTCAGGGCCATCATGGCCCTCTTGTTTTCCTTTGTCATAAAAATGTCAAACAGCAGACTGGTAATTAATAGTTATTTATATTTCACCATTATAACATTTCTGCTTTACAAATTTTGCAAATGAAAAATAGCTGTGGTTTATAATTTAAAAAGGACAACATGAGGAAGTAGGCATGATATATGTTCTATTAACAAAAAATAATAATAAAAAAATAAGAAGAAAGTAAAAGAAAAATGTAGATGTCTATAATGCTCTAGTCTTGATTATAGATTGAAATAAATCTACTATGCCATAACTTTTTAATATATTCCCTTGAATAAATAATGATAGTTCAGAGTATAAACAATAATCAATGATGCATTGAAATTTCTCATAATTATAGACATGTGAGAAGAAATGCATTGTCAAAGAACAATTACTCTACATAATACATTACTTAGATTTTGAATGGCATTCCTTTATAATGTAAATGCACTTGTTTGGAGAATAAAAAATGTTGAAAGAACTTGATTAAATCTTCAGCCAGTGATAGGAAGTGCAGTGTCCATGCAAGAACCATTATTCTGCCTAACTTTTTTTTTTTAATTATCTCCCTATATAATACTTACTTTTGGAGGTTATCTAACTTTGGGGGTAAATTGAACAAGACCATCCTTGCTAGAAATGGATTGAAACAATTTGCTTATGAAGCCTTATTTACAAGCTGTTGCCTTTTATATTTGGTGAGTAGATCCCTTGAGTAATCCTCAAACTTTATGATGAGTTAGGGCCACTAAGTTCAAGGTCACCATTGCTCAAAATAGACCTCTACACTTTTGCTTAAACAGGTTTTATTAATTGATGATGTTCATGTTTGATTGGTATAGACCTTCAGTGGTCTTGTAATTTTGGAAAGACAAGGGGTCAAGGTTACCAGTGCTGTCTTCCCTATACAGCCTTTATTAAATGACCGATGTCTTTAATATTTTGTAGACATCTTGGGTGGTAACTTTTGGTAAAGGTCTACTTTTGGTCAAGGTCACCACACTGATGTAAATAGATTTTTATGCTCCCCTAAGGGTGAGCATATAGTAGCCACTTTGTCCGTCCCCACTACCGAATAGGGATAGGGGGCCATCTAACTGTAAACAGAACAAAAGAGAACAAAAGAGTTCATTCCATAACAAAAGAGTTAGGGCCCATTGGTTCTCTATTAAACAATAAAAAATAACAAAAGAAATGGGCACTTATTCCATTTTGGCTGGACGTCCATCTGTCCGTCCGTATGTCTATCCATCCGCTATTCTTGTCCAGGACATAACTTTGAAACAACAAGAGATATCAACATAAAAACTTTGTAGGTAGATAGATCTCATTGAGTAGATGTGCAGTGCAAAAGAACAGTAACTCTACTTTGCCTAATTTTGGAATAATTGCCTTTTGTTTATTTTTACACTTTGAACTTTGTACAGGACATAACTCTAATACTATAAAAGATATCAACATGAAACTTTGTAGGTAGATAGATCTCTTTGGGTAGAAGTGCAGTGCAAAAGAATCATAACTCTGTCTTGCCTAATTTGGGAGCTATTGCCCTTTGTTAATTTTTACACTTTGAACTTTGTCTGGGACATGACTCTAAAACTATAAGACATATCAACATGAAGCTTTGTAGATACATGTAGATAGATCTCATTGGGTGGAAGTGCAGTGCTAAAGAACAATAACTGTCTTTCCTAATTTTGGAGTTATTGACCTTTGTCCATTTGTATACTGTGAACTTTGTCTGGGACATACCGTAACTAAAACTATAAGAGATATCAACATGAAGCTTTGTAAGTAGATAGATCTAAATGGGTGGAAGTGCAAAGCTTAAGAACCATAACTTTGTCTTGCCTTATTTTGGAGTAACTGCCCTTTGTTAATTTTTTTCACTTTGAACAGGACATAGCTCTGAAACCATAAGAGGTTTGTAGGTAGATTTATCTCATTAAATAGAAGTGCAGTACAGAAGAACCTTAACTCTGTCTTGCTTAATTTTGGAGTTATTGCCCTGTGTTCATGTTTACACTTTGAACTTTGTCAGGGAAAAAACTCTTACTCTTCAAGAGGTATGCTTTTCTGTGTCCAAAACCTACTCAGGGAGCATCACCAGGTTCAACCGGTTCTTGTTACACTTGTGATCATGCAACCATAATTGGCTGATGTCTTTTTTATTTGGTAGTCAGATACTTTGGATGGTCCTCTTTTTTCAGACAAAGTTAAGGGGTCACTGGTGTCAAGCTCAGTGGTTCTAAAAATAGATTTTTACACTTTGCTCTTCGCTGGATCGCTAGGTGTAATTTGTCTGTGATAATTGATCTCAGATATTCAGTCTGATGGACATCAATCTTTTACCACTGATTCAAAAATAATGTGGAGTTAGTCACCCTTCACTTGCAGTGAAGTTGGTAATAACTGGTAAGTTATCCAGCAAAGCCTGCCGGGTTGATCAGCTAGTACATGTATGTATTCATATAGGGTTGTAAAACATAAAAACAAGAACAAACCAAGAGCTCAGATAGGTGAGCTTTTGTGATAGCATGATGTTTGTCTTCCAATGTGTGTCATCTGTCGTTTTCCACAACATCTGCTTAACCATATAGATTTTGACTAAACTTAAGAATAATGAATTTTTACAAAATGGCTCTCTACAAAGGTATGGTAATCTCAGGTGACTGAGCGGTTGCTTTTAACGGTTAAGGTACAAGTATTGCAGTCACTGTTTATCCTTGTGTGATCATGAGAGGCAACTGAATGGTTTAGAATAACTGGGGACTCTATGCATCTCTAAAAATAGAGTAAATCATGAATTAAAAAAAATTTCTCCTTAAAAATAAAATTTGCTAGAGATTCAATATTTGGATTTTTGTTAATCACCTTGACGTGTTCCTCTACAAAAGATATATAAATTATTTAGATATCTGACATGTTGCACCATCTTGTGGTATTCCACAAATGTTATCATGCCCCTGGGGTCAAAAATGGTCCTGCACTAGGGACTGACACTTAGTTTACATAATTATGCCTGTGAAATACATTTAAGTCTTCTATGCCCAGAACTTAGATATTTGGCATGTAGCATTGCTTAGTGGACCTCTACAACAGTTTTATAAATCATCTCATGAGGTCAAAATTGCCATCACCTCCGTGGGGTCACTTAATTTAAACTAAAAATAGCATAAAAGACTTCTTCTCAGAATCTGCAAAGCCTGGAGCTTAGATATTTGACATGTACGTACCATCAGCTTTAACAGTGGTCCTCTACAAAAATTATCTGTCATTCCCCAGGTGTCAATTAGTTTATTTAGACTTCTATAGGAAAATTCATTTAAGTGTTTTTTTGTGATACTATTATAAATGCCTTTAAAGGACAATTGCCCAGAGCTAGGATATTTGGCTTGTAGAATTGCCTTGTGATCCACTCAAAATTGGTCCTGACCTGGGTGTTACTTACTGTAACTCATGATGTAAGTATACATGTATATAAACTTATATATGAAAATACATTTTTCTTATGTCAAGAGCTAAGTAGCATTTTGTAGCAGACAACCAGAATCATGCTGTTTGGGTAAAAAAGAAATACCCAATATGATCTAATTAATACTTTTGCATTGAACAATTATGACTTTTTCTACCAACAAATTACCCAAGGTCGTTACAGTCACTGAAATTTGGGTAAAATGTAAAACTTGTTCTACTGTAGACATATTGTCATTCATAATTGCAAAATAATTACAACAATTGTGTCATGACCGGTAAACATGATTGTAACAGGTATATTCTCATTTTATTCACACCAGATGTAGTTACGCTTTTATCTGTACGTTTTATCAAATTTTAACATGGATCAAGATTTGACATTGAAAGATTGTTTAAATATAAAGTTTATGTTAACTGTAAGATGTTTCTATCTTTTTATTGTATCATCTCAATTATGATGCTTGTATTTGTTTAAATAATAATGTAAACAAATTGATATAAAATATTTTCTATTATCAAGTATCACTAAGATGTAACAGTAATGCATTGGACAATCTCTGAATCAATGATATTTATTTGTTTAATGATAGTTGAATATTGTAAAATGAAATGTAAAATATTGATTTTAGACACTTGGAATCTATCCAAATCAGTTGCCATTAAACATTTTTCTGCCTTTCTATGTTGCAGGGTGTAAAACGGAAGTTTAGATTGAAATAACTGGGGGAATATTTATGATGTCATTGCCAGTTGTAATTTTTGAACATTTATAATTAAGGTAAGTTGACAATTTTATATTATTATCAGATAATAGATTTGATTGATTTATAAGTAAGTACATGTATGTGATTGTATAAGAATAAGTTTTAATTTATCATGTAAACTGTATCTATGATTATGTTTAGTGTACTTTTAAGCATGACTTACAAAATTTTAATAATGATAAACAGCACAGTGTATAGAAAGAAGGTTAAGTAAAACTGTTACATCATGGAAATATTATTATTATTTTTTTTATGAATAATCATAGCATGTTTAATATCTCTTTACATATTCAGTTTTTGTGCATAAAATATTATTCTTGTTTATTGACCCTTATAGTCATTAAGTCTTTATCCTACTTTTTCATCCAATGACTAGGTTTCTAGTTGAAAATTCCTAAAAGTCTTTTTTTTCCAATAAACTTTTGTCTGCAGTTTTTGCTACCAGTCAGGTATTTAAATGTTGCATTTGTCCAGATAAATGCTATAAGTGCCTACAAAAAGTATGCCAATGATTTAGTTACTTAATTGTAACATACATGTACATGTATAAGAAAAAGAACATTTTAAACAGCTACAGTCATTCCTACATCCCTTATCTAAGCTGTTTAAATTGTGTTGTGTTTTTTAATTAGTAATTTTACCTACTAGCTAATTAATTGCTTATTAGTAAAAGAACAATAACTTCAAGACTATTTTAAGAAATGTTAACAATGAGGCATTGACATGTTTGTTATTCCCACTGGTTTATTGATTATTTTAAGACAATTGTGTTTCAGTAAGTTAAATGAGGTTCAAGTTTCAATACACCACCAAGCATTTGTATTCATTTTTTTAACTAGACTAAAACATTTGAATTAAACACGTCAAGATAAAGAAATTCTATAGCAAATCTATAAATGTTTTTTTTATCAATAGATTACATGTTTGCCTGCACTATGCAGTCTCAATTTATATAAAACTGCTGCAAGACTTTGTTTACTTTTATTTATAAGCCAAAGTATTATACTTTTTCACTCTTCATGATTATTCTAAAGTTTATTTTAAAAAAGTGTTTTAATATTATTTATCTGTAAACATATTTACAATATTTACATGTGAATTCTCTTTAATTTATTTATTATTCATCTTGACAAGTTTTTACACAAGGTATTTACAATATCAAAGGCTACAGAATAGTTTATGACAAAATCATTTACAGATTGAATCAATATAATAATCAATTATGTTAAAACATATACTGTACATTATGTTTTATTGCAATGCAACAAATGCATTAATCTGTATTAAAATTTTGCTAGTAAGAATAATATTATTGTATAATTTCATTCATTCGTGAAATGCTCAGGTGGATAATCATATAGTTACAATTACATTTAAAGGTAGATGTATTTTGATAATATACCGTAGATTGTTTCTGGTAGCAGGTAAGAGGGAAGAAGAAAGCCAATGAGTATGACAATATCTGATAGAGGCAACAGTTACTGCAGTACTTCACCTGTAACAGTGGAGGATACACAATGTCTCTCAAAATTTTACAAGAAAAATGAAGAATACAGAGGTATAATATATATTATTGTAAAACATTTTATACATTTAACTGACTGTTTTAAACTGTAGTAAGAATGAAAATATAAGTATTTTGTTTTGCACAATGTAATTGCATGCAATACATGTTAAAGAAAGGTTCTTATACCTAAAATTATTGTATTATTGGAGACAATTTGTTTATCCCACAAAAGAGAAATTTCCTCTTATGAAATTTAACTACATAATTATTTACTTCAAATAAATATCTTGTATCTGACTGGTTTTTTATAGTGACCTTCACCTTGACATGATATACATGTACATTTTAAGTTATTCAATCTTGCCTCTCCATAGAGAACTTCATATAAAACTGTAATTGTAGTCTACTACTATTTTTGTTCAGGTTTCTCACTGCAGATTCAGATACAGTGTTACTTTTTATTTCAGCCAAAATATTTAATCCCAAAACAAATAGTGTATTTTAGTGGTTGTTTAGAAAGCCAAATAGTGATTTTAGAAGCAAAAACCTTGACTGTAATGACATATAAGGGACAATGAAATGTATTCAAATAAAATTCACATGTTTGAAGCATAGACCCAAGCACTGTGAAAACTATTGTGGAAACAAATTACTATTAGTCTGAGTAATTGTAAAAACTGAGTATAACTTGATTTTTACCTTGATTTAACATATTTCAGACATAGAGAGTGAGTATGAAGGTCGTGAATCTCTCAATAAAAAGATACATGTATACACTGGTGACATCACAGAGTTTAATGTTGACGCCATTGTTTGTTCTGTACAAACACTCCTCACTGCTAAACCTTATGGTAGTAAGTATCAATATCCTCAAACAAATATTTCTATTGTATAATTATTCTAGTGTCAGTGTCATGTAACAGTTTAGTGTGCACTACTTTTGTAAAAATAAAAACAATCTCTGAAAGTGTGCCTTCAGGAAATTGATTCTTTAACTCAGTGGTCTAGTCACTTAAGCAGTGAAGTTGTAAGTGGGAAGTTGCAAGTTTGAATCCCAGCCATGGCAGGATCTTTTCTGATAAATTTGCCGCTTTCTGTTATGAAATTTAAATTTTGTAAGAATGTCAAGAATGAATTTTTTTTAAAAACATTATTAATAATTTAGATAAAGAAAATATGGGTTGTATTTATAGTGCACGGGGCAGTTTTGAGGAGGGCTGGTGAAGTATATGAGGAAACTGTGAGGAATGTTGGGTACTGCAAGGCTGGTCAGGCTTTTATCACAGATGGTAAATGACACAATTTACTTACCTACAACAAGAAGTTTTAGCATCAAATAATATGAGCCATGTCACGACAAAACCAACATAATGGGTTTGCGACCAGCATGGATCAAGACCAGCCTGCGCATCCGCGCAGTCTGATCAGGATCCATGCTGTTCGCTTACAGACCCTAAAACAAGTTAAGAAACTGATAGCGAACAGCATGGGTCCTGATCAGACTGCGAGGATACACAGGCTGGTCTGGATCCATGCTGGTCGCAAACCCATTATGTTGGTTTTGTTGTGACGCGGCTCAATTATCATGAATGCTACTAGACCTACATTTTAATTTTTGTTTGGATTTTCAACTTCAATTTATAACTGTGACAGCGCAATTAATCATCTGATTCCTTAAGCTTTGAGTTGTTGAGTTGTTTAGATCTAAAATATTTAAAAGTAATGGTTTGAAGACTGCAAGTGTTAAGGAGATGTATATTTTTCAATGGTTATGTCTAGACAATAAAGTATAGAGGTTCATCAATATGTAATTGTATACTACATAATTATATATTGTTGTATGCAATTATACATTAATATTTCAGGATTTGAGCTTTATGCAAAACGTAAGTACAAACATACATGAATACTATCTATAAAATCTATTTAAGTAACAATTTATACAATTGTCATAAAATGGCCCATATTAAGTCAGATTTTAGAGAAATTTCTCTCGAAAACACAAATACTAATATTTCTCTACAATACCATTTAGAATTAACAAATTCCATTTAAGAACAAATTCTGGCTGTTCTTGATGGTATTAAAACTTGAACATATAATGTCACTAAACAATTCTGTCAATAACAGGCAAACAAAATCAAGGAGCAAAAGCCTTCTTTATACATAAATATCATAAAAGAATCACAGAAATCTGTTATATCAATTTTAACAACTGATGGCAAAAGCTTCCTACAGCTTAAGGAAATGGAAGCTATTATCAGATTATATAGAGGATATTTGTTTGTTTGTCATTGAAAAGTGTGAAATTAAATTTTGATAATTTTCACTGTGAAATATCAAATATAATTTTCACGGATAAATCAGTAATCCACTGAAAAGCATAAAATAAAAGATCTTCATTTGTACTGCCACTTTCTTTCTTCAGAAACAATATAGCACTAAAAATGAATTCTGCCAATAATGACTTCTTTATCTTTCCTTTATTGCAAAATTAAGATCAATGTATATCTGTTTAGATGTAATTCACACTGCTGGACCACCACCAGATTCAACATTAACATATGATGAGAGAAAATCTTGTCTGGAGAAGAGTTATCTCTCCTGTCTCGATATTGTTGGGGCATCCCAGGATATCAGAACTGTTGTGAGTTTACATCATTATATTTGATAAAAAATTATTTGTACATTATCTTAAAGCCAATGAATATGATCAGTCTTGCACATTTTATCCCAAATTTATATTTTCTCAGCCTTCAAAGAAGTTATTAATTGTATCCTTCTTGAGCTGTGAGTTTAAAAATGAATTATTACAACACTTTAATCAGAGGAATGAAAACTTAACATGTATTTATGAATTATAATGCTGAATTAACTATGTAAACATTTGTTGCTATTTTTTATCTTTGAGATGATTATAATATATCTGACTGCACTGCAAATGACAAAATGTTAATAAATTTTTACCACCACAACTTGTAGAAAATATAATGTTTTTATTTAGTATTCAGATATATCATAACAGACTAAGAAATGATTATTATACAGGCATTTCCGTGTCTGGGTTGTGGTGGTGGAGGTCTGGAGTTGATAGATGCTATAATGACAGCCGTGACCACAATCAGACAATGGCTGGAAACTGATCATAATCTCACACAGGTCTTTCTTATAATCTCTCTATATATACATCTACGTTCATTAAATTACACTTCATCTTCATATATATTTATATATAGATATCTTAATATAAAACTATGGTGGCAGTCAAACAAAGTTATCAAAAGTGCTTGAAATTTGCCAACAGTTTACAGAAAATCCAATTGATATATGCAAAGCATTCTTCTGTATTTAAAAACTGGTTATACACATCACTTATCTTACTAATTTTAAGAAACATGAAAAATTTATAGATAAATAGAGCTATTATTTAATGGGATAGAATAATGTATGGATAAACAGATCTATTTTTAACTGGATAGAAAAAAAATTGTTATTTAACTGGATATTTAAGTGATTTACCGTTGACAAAAATAAACCACTATGAAAACAGGATACAATTTACTTTTTCTGTTACACATAAAAAATACACTATATCATTCTATTTAAACGTTATATAATTAAAAAAATACTTTTTTTCTTTTACAACAAATTAAGAAATGCATATAAAATAGAACTAACACATGGTGGATGAATGTTTTATTAAATGTTTAAATTTAAGTATTTATGTAATATTCCAGGTTAACAGTATAATACTGGTGATGTATGATGAAAATCAGTGGAATGAATACAGACAACAACTTGCAAGGGTATTTCCATATGGGAAAGGTAACTTAATCAGTGGTTTGTTTTAGTTGTCATTATTGCGGCAACCATGGCCTAGTGGTTTAGGTCACTGTCGTTTAAAAACGCTGCTAGGGATGTTGAATTTCTTCAAGGGGTTCTAATCAAGTGCCTGACCTGTGCTTTAAGTAAAAAGCAGATGTTGCTCTTCAGTTCTTCTAAAAGCACTTTAATTTGTGTGTGTTTTCCAAATGCAACATAAGAATAAGTTATTCTAGAGTCATAAAGTATTCCAGTTAGTTTCATCTCTTTACAACTATTGTGTATCACAGTGATTTTGGGTAACTCTAGTACGATAATTAATCTTGCCTTTTTTTGCACTATGAGTATTGTGCTGTATAATGCAAGCACTTTTCTTTTTCAGATTTAGCTGGAATAGATTTGGAAACATTGAACTATGCAGATGAACGCACATTGACAAGTTTTGTTCCTCAAACATGGCGTACCACAAACATACTGTGCTATCAGTACAAAAAACATGCTGTTAAACCAGTCAGCAAACATTTCCACCGCATTGTCAATCAGCTTCATAAAGAGTTTGGAACCAGGTCAAAACCACCAGAAAGATTCAAGAATTGTGGGAGGATTTTTATAAATTCAGGAGGGAAGTTTTTGGTGGTCTACCGTGGTGAAAACAGTTGTACAATAGAGATCCAAATATCATCAAGTACTTTGGATAATTTTGATCGGAATATCTGCAGCAATGTGCAATTATTAATTAGCAACTATCTTACATCAAATTTAGAAAATGTGACCAGATATAAAACTTACATACGGTGTGAAAATTCAAGTTGGGGAGATAAAGATGGACTTGTAAGTAAAGAGAAGATTCAGCGTAAAATTTCTAGAAATTCAACTATACAATGTAAGCACAAGAAATCAGCCAACAATGTATCACATTCAGTTGATATAAATGAAATAACAAAGTTTTGGTTTCATCAAGATCAGGTTAGTTCATTTATCAATTTTTATGATTCGTAAAGGATGCATATAGTTCTTGAACTGTTCATCAATTTGCCAGTCAGTCTGAGTGGTTTTTGTCCTGGACATAAATTTGTTATTCAAAGATAGTTTTTGGAGTTTTTTTGCATAAACATGTAGAACAGTGAGATAAAGGGTTGCATGCAAGACCCAGGTTTGTAGGTCAAAGATCAAGGTCACAATAAGTTGAAAAATATTTTTCATAAAAGTGCATTGATGGCCTCGTCTGGTCAGCAATTCTGTGGCTCCTTGACAAATTTTTAAATAACTATGCATAATTACATTGGACATGATGACAATAAGCTGTACCCAAGAATCAGGTCTCCAGATTGAAAGTATGTTTATCCAAAGTCATGATAGAAAATTTTCATTTAGAAAAAAAAGTGGTGTCCTGTCCATAATTCTGTCATTCCTTAATTGTGTCGATCATTCCTGAAAGAATTATAGAATTATCAAGTGTAAATATTTTGGACATGCTTTGCACATAACAATCAAGTCCTCAACTCAAAGGTCCATGTCACACATCTGCATTCAAAGTTATTTTAACATTGTGCTATTGTTTCTCCTTTCCTTACAATAAGTCAAATTCTCGTTTTCCCACCAATATGCTGCTTTCCATCTCTTCCCTGAAGCACACCACTTATTTTCTGTTTCCAAAGATGCTTTTCCCTAAAGTTTGCTTCTGTTCCCTTAGATTCCCTCTAAAATGCTATGTTTCCATTCCATTCCATTCCGTATTAACTACTTTGCTTCTCCTATGTAAAACACTCTACTTCAGAATTTCAGAAACTCTACGTAAAAAGATACATTTCATTTCCTTCTGTTACCTGATAAGTATAAAAAATAAACTTATAACTCATTAGTCATTCTTGCAATGTCTTTATTACAGGGAAATTTTCATCGGGAACCCTTAGAGCACAATGAAAGAGCGGAAGAATCGGAGGAATCTTCATCCTGGCAATCTTTATCATCTATACCAGGCTTACAGAACAACATGGAACATAAACAGCACAACATTACCATGGCGATTAGAGCATCTGCTTGTACCCCTGTGGAACATTTCGATGATAGTCCAAGTACAATAACAAGTAATGTTCCAACTTGTACTACCTCTGACACTGAAGGTGACCGTCTGTCATCAAGTTACCAACCATTGAATGATTCCCTCCTGCCAACCAGCTCTCAACAGGGTACATGTGAGAAAGACTTAAGAACAAAAACACATTTCCAACACCTTGGAACTACCTCACTGCATGCATGGAAACCAGGAACTGAAATGGAATCTGGAAACCTGGCACAAGAACCATCAGTATATAGCAAAAATTTTGGAGAGCGTCAGTGTAATACATCTACTGGACAGGTTTGTAAATCATCCAAAAAGAAACAAAAATCTAGTAACTGTAATGAATGTGAAAATTGTGACTATGGCAGTGGACAAATTAGAAATGAAGCAAAGTCAAGTTCATCATTTTGTGATCTCAATTTAGACTCTCTAGCTGGAGCATGTGGCGGAGGTAACCATGGATACAAGTCACAATCAAACATTAGATATTCCAGTGTTATAGCAAGTTTAAATGACCAAGCTTTGATTCAGCTTGCAAGGTTAGTTGGTAACAAGGATACACAGCTTGGTCTAGAGCTGGGACTACAGTATTCATGTATTCAGAGAATAAAGTCTCATAATTCTGACGATGCTGTAGTACAGGCTTATCATATTTTACGACAATGGAAAATCCAGCAGCGAGGAAAGGCAGCAATAGAAACACTGGCAGAAGCAATGACAAATTGTAGTATAGACACCTCCTCGTTATACATGTAAAATTTTGCTACTGGTTGGGGACCACCAAAACCGGACAACCACCAAACCCGGACGGCCCCCGAAAATTTTTAATTTAGTTTTTTTCCTTTATTCAGTGGTTTTCTTTCTATCAGTCACTTTATTATCAACATGCATGTTTCTTCCATAATTAATTAAATTTATTTCAACTTTTGTTAAAGGTTATTTTAATGTCTATTTTGAGAATGTTGACTTTAACATTTGAGCGTCAAGAGTGCAATACCTGACCTCATATACCTGCTAGAGTAAACAATAGAATATCCAAAACTTCAGCATTTGTCGCTGAAATATTGTATATCATGTTAAAAATAAAAAAATAAAACACCCAAGCTTTTATCTGAATTAAATCATGTCATGTACATATCTGTCCGAACACATGGTACTGTAGTGTGGACAATTGGGGTAAATTGGATACCCTCGACCACAAGCCTCAGATAAAAGTGTCAACATAATCAGAAATAAACAAACAAGTTTTTTAGTTAGGAGAAGAACCTAGCTGTTCTGTGTCAAATTTTCAGGTCTCTAGGTTTGAAATTGTAAAATCTGTACGGAAAAACGTTCAAAAAAGTGTCCAGTTGATGGTCCCCTACCAGTACAGGACAATGTACATTTGAAAGTGAATTGTACTCATTTAGATGCAAGATATAACTGCATGTACATGTAGGAAATTTCTACATTACAAGTCATTAATTTTTTAAAAAGAATATTTTGCATGTTTTTGATGTAGAAAAATACAATAAATGTATAAAAAGCAAGATTTTTCTTTATACATGTATGTTCTAACTTTTACAGATATTTTGTGGACTACTTTTTAATATCACTTCTTTTTAATATCACACTATTGGGTGACAGGAAATCTTGCTATAATTCAGATTTATACATGATTGAAATAATTCTTCTACAGAAATACTTCACAAAAGTGAAGTACATACATTTACATACATTACAAACAAGCAAACCCCTAGAAACTAACATATATGAAAATGCAGTTTTTTTCTGTATATAACTACTACCCTGTACTGTTCCCAATAGAAAATAGACATTAAAATTCCCAATTTCTTATGTTTTAATTCCCAAAATGGCTGTTCAAAATTCCCACAAAGCCAAGTGATTTTTTTGAAATCATTTAAATTCAACATATTCATATAAATCACCACTCAATAGTTCTACCTGGACAATGGAAGCTGTTAGCTATCTTTACTCATGATGACTAATCTTATTTGTAGCTGAAAAATGCATAAATATTTTTTTCCCAATTTAAGTCAAAATAACTCATTTTTTTCCAATCAGTCTGGTACTGGCACCATTCCCAAAGTAGAGGGAAAAAACGCTGAAATGTCGTCATCAGAAGCTTCCTATCAAATGTAAAGCTGTGCCAAATTTATGTTACAAATAACTTACTTTATTCAGTAATACCAAAAATCATCTCTCCACCCATCACACTAGTGTGTGTGTGTGTGTGGTGGAGAGATGATTATATAGGGTGTGGTGGAGAGATGATTATATAGGAATCACTTCGTCTGGTACTGATTGTTTATATTTAATATCTTTTGAAACAGATCAGATATTACCTGGACACTTAGAATATACAAGAAATAATGAAGCATATCATTTGAAAATATCTCGCTTATAATTCCAACAACCTTCATACGGTTCATTTTCTTTAACAATTTGTTCCCAACACTCTACACAAAATGACTAGCAAAACTGACACAAATGCAATTGAAATAACGGCCTATATAAAAGGTAGGTCGCTGCTCAGTTTAAAATCAGTAGATACTGCAAAGTTTGCGACATTTATGGGGATGATCAAATGTACCGTAGATTCATTTGTAGGTTTCAAACAAAAGGACTTAAATGTACAATGTATTTTCCTCAATAAGTCTATATGAACCACAAGGGCAGGGTCAACTTTGACCCCAAGGATATGGTTTATATAACTTTTTTAGTGGTTCAGGTCACCAACTTCAATTCACTTGCCTTTAACCTCTGTGGATTTGAATCCCATCAGAAACATTGAATTCTTTCATCTGAGAAAACCTTACAACATGGTATTACATTAAGTGTTTATGTTATTTCTACTGCATGACTGGCTATATTTACATATTCTGACCTATTTTCGGTAAATTTCGTATACATGTATTTTAAGCACAGTTGGCAATGTGTTAATTACTTTCTTTGTTCACTTGATAATATTTTACTTATGAGTACATTTTAAATTTTTTTTATATGAATCTGGAGGCATGCAACTTAATAGATGTTCTTTAAAGAAATTATGGATTAAAAGGAATGACGGACACACTGTTTCACAAAAGTTCAATTCCAAGAACAAATTTAGTGAAAATCTTGATCAAGTAAAAAACTAGGATAATGACTTACAATTGTATAAACATTTCATGTTTTGTTGTTGATGACTTTTCAACGTTACTGGTGGAGGAAGGCCACAGGTGCCACTCCGAGCATTATTTCTGGCTCGAACAGGCACCCGAGTAGAACCACCAATGTTACGTAAGCTAGCTGGATAGCTTCCTCACATGACAGAATGCAAAGTCCCTGTTGATGTTTCATATGAATACCTCCAGATGTTAATATGATAGCACACAAATTTTTGAAAATCATACAATTCTTTGAATAGCTTAAAATATGGATGATGAAATTGTTTGTTGCCTTACTTATATTTCATAAAAACAAAACAATAACTCTAATATTCTTGCTGTTTTCTTTTCTTTATACTAGAATGCTAAAACTGACAGGAGACTTAATGTATACAATTTTAAAGTAAATTCAATTTCTGGTTACCAGCAATATATCAGTTACATTTCAATATCATAGCATTGTAAGTCTGTAACATTGAATTAGAACTGATGTAACATATTTATAACATGCATAATGCCCCAGCATGTTTGAAATCAGAACTATATACATGCCATTTGTTTAGTTACATTTACATCTGCATTAAGTATTTCAACAACAGTTTAACAACAACTCTACTAATAAATTTATTGAGATGAAGCTTAATTACTTGGTAATGCAGGTAAAATAATGACATATAGCTTATTGTCTATCTTTTATTAAAGAATATCACATCATTCTATACACATCATCTTCATTCAACAATACAACAGACTAGAACATCATATCTTATTATCTTTTCTAAATAATTCTAAATAGCTAATAATGCTATAGTATTATGTTTCTGGAATAAATCATATGAATACTTCATTAATTAATTAATTCTTCTTGTACAGTTATTAAAATCTTTAGCAAATATACAAAATTATCTTAATACAGATATTATTGAAAATACATGAGACCTCTTTACAGTCAATCTGGATCCATTTTAAAGTTTTCATAAGCGAAATTCTTTTGTCGAAACATAAACAAAATATTAAAGATGAAAAAAGTCTGTAATATTCATAATGACGATATACTGGGACACCAGTGTCTACTATAACAACATACCAACATTTCTCCTCACATTTATGCCTTATTGTTCAACCTTTTGAAAGTTTTAACAATGACAATTTCACAATAATGTAAGTTGAAACATAAACATCAATCAAAATAACACTCATCAAATATCAATTACTTTACAAAATGTACGAGGGCTGTTCAAAAAGTTCGTGGACTGCGGCTCTACTGTTCACATCTTTTAATTTGCGTATATGATTTTACAAGGGACATATATGAAAATATGTCCTTAATAAACAGTGAAAAAATCAATACAATATGTTTACAAATAAAATTGCTGTGACAGTTACAAATCACAAGGGGTGCACAATCCGGCGCACGCTGATGATGAAACAAAATGACGTTCGTGACGTCGCAATATAAATGAAACATTTCACCAGCGTCATTGTTTCTGAAAGTACTCTTTTTAGTGTTCAATATCTGCGGATCATATACCAAAACCATTTTTCTGTTTGCGATGATGACCCGAGATATAAAGTGGTCATCTATTCGCTCCATTCTCCGTAAAAAAGTTCCGAGTGCCGCATACTTTTCGCTCTTTATCGGGATTTTTGAGTAATTTAGACACTAATCTTAACGGACAGTGTTATTAAGTTAATTCAATTGTTGATTGATAGTATCAATTTGAAACCGCCCTCGTCCGATCTTTAAACAATATGATTATCGATGATAAAGAAAATATTTTATCAACTGACAATTATTCTATGCGGTAAATCTACTGAACACCGACTAGCATTAATTATCAAACGGACCAGGGTAAATACAGGAAATACAAATAATAACTACAATTATTTATTGTAAATATACTTATATCCTGATGAATGAAATAAAATATTATTTTAATTAAATTAAATTGTTTTGTCAGAATTGAATGCATAGACCCGATGCAGATATAAACATGTCGGACATCTCGCAAAACTGTCATAATGCCTGAACTTCTGTAGATCTTTTGCAATTGACGTTACAAACGTCCCAACAATTTGCCGCTAAAATTATTCGCCGCCCTTTCTGTCTGTGAGCATGTATTTGCCGTATTTGAATGGCTTGCGCGACCTGAAACCAAGAGACTTGCTCGCCAACTCATTGTTTTTCGTTTAATAATTTAATCACCTTATAAAAATATAAAGGAGTATACCACATTTATTGGTAAAAATTTCCGAAATAGCAAATTTCTAGTTTATAAACAGGGTTTATACTTCCCAACTTACCCGTCTGTCTACTGCTGCTCAAAACCTGTTTGTTCAGCTATTCAACGTCCAAACGACGCCAAAAGTCAGATTTCAAGTTGCGTTGCCATGGTTATTAAAGTGCACATAACTCGTAAAGGAAATAAAAGTTAACAATAAAAGTAAATCTTACTTTTGAAAATAAAGACACTCTTTCGATTCATATCCACTAAGGGTGTTTTTATGAACCAAGTAAAAAATGACAGCAAAAATCCACGAACTTTTTGAACATACCTCGTATATTAACTTATCAAAAGGTTTTGTTCATTTTGTTGTCACAACATGTTGTAAAGTTCACCACAATATCTCTCAACTTTCCAGCAATCTTAGAGTAACTCCAGTGATAGTTATGTTTTACTTATTGGCCATTTTAATGATTACTTATTATATACATAATGAAAACATTATAAATAACTTTTAAAAACGTGTATCTAAGGAATGATGGCAGGCATGACATATTCAAATCCCCCATGTAACATATATATGTAATGTACAAGAGATGGTGTTCCTCAAAGATGAGTGTTTAACTATATAGTACACAATATACACAGTTCTATTTCAGAGTGAAAGCTTCTACTCCACATCATCTTCAGCTATTTGTTGTATCTTAGGTCCTTCAGTTTTCTTCTCAACTTTAACTCCAAATTGATCTTGTAATCTCTGTAAATTTAACAGAAGTTTTATTAATATCACACAATAATGCTTTAACATTTCAAGCATCACAAACATAAATCTAAACAGTTGTATTATTTTTGCAAGCAAAGGCTTTAAATTTAACTTTATTAAAAACAAGTGCCTGGTTAAAATGAACCCTATACCCCTCTTGATCTTGACATTTGACCTCATGACCTTTAAGTGGGTCTGACAGGTAGATTTCATCAAGACACATGCACCTGTTTGGAGGGTGCTAGTGGAAGAACTCTCATGTTAAGGTCATGGTTAAAAGTTTTCGAGCAATATTATTCAATGAAGAAAAAAGATTATGAAAGACATCAGCAGTCACAGGTATTTTCATTAATTTTCAATATTTAACAGGTACTAATAAAGCTAGAAAGTTAGCACTAGTTTATTACTGTACTCCTGTCCTTTATTACGGAGCAGTTCCCAAAGAAGTGTTCCTTTGTTAATCCATTTTTCTACAAGTACTGGGTAAATCCTACAAAAGATGTGACTGCTATTGTTTTTCTTCATCTCTTTTTTCATTTAATAACCTACTAATGAAAAATTTTAATAACTTTACCTGTCTAACAATAGGTATTCTTATTGTAAGAAGACTGACAACTTCTGGAGGTAATGTTTGTGAGAAGACTTGCATTAAATGTTGTCCTTGTCCACATATAACAACAGCATTAGCCAGATGATCTACACCTTCCTCTATCTCTGTATTATATATATAACACAAATGAGCCGCATCATGACAAAACCAACATAGTGCGTTTGCGACCAGCATGGATCCAGACCAGCCGGCGCATCCGCGCAGTCTGATCAGGATCCATGCTGTTCGCTATCAGTTTCTCTACATGTAATAGGGTTGGTAAGCGAACAGCATGGATCCTGATCAGATTGCATGGATGCGCAGGCTGGTCTGGATCCATGCTGGTCGCAAACCCATTATGTTGGTTTTGTCATGGCGCGGCTCAAATATTATACAACACGCATGACAAATAAGAATATGAACTGTTACAGCATAATGGATGAAGGGATGTCGGATACCTGGATGTCACATGATAATTAAATTGGTGGCCTTCAATCTCAAACATCGAGGGTTTGAGCCCTACTGAAGATATGACCACATTTACTCTTGAGGCATCATTACTGGTAGGTCGTAGAAGCCTACCTGGAGGCGCTTTCAATAATGTGTTATCTTCCATAAAAACCAATGTAAACAAGCTTTCAATTTCCATCACAATTGAGATAAAAAATATTTATTCAACAATTTTATTTCATACATGTACACATTTGAAAATATATTCCAAATTGCATAAATTGGTTTAGAAATCATTTTTTAGTCAACAGATTGAATTATAACACCTGTCGTTATCTTGATAAAAACATAGAAATACTCACGTCCATTTGAGAGTAACATTTCACCAAGTTGAATTTCCTGCATAAAATACTGCTGGCAAGCTTCCTGGTTATTTGGATCTGGGAACTGGAAATTCAAAAGTTATAATGCACATTTATGTCAAAATCACCAAATGTGTTCAATAAGTAAATGTAAAGATTTTATAAATTTTATATACTGTAAATGTACTTTTGTGGTTATACAAACAGAAAATTATCCTTTCATATGTTTTGCACTGAAACACTTAAAATATAGCTGTCAGATGTTAAACGTCCATGACTATTATCAGGATCTTGGTTTAAACATATTTTTTCAACAAAACATTTAACAAGTGAACAATATTTACAAAGTGCATTTTGGGATTGGGCAGAAAGCTATAAAGTTTATGAGTGTCCTATCCCAGGATCTTGAAAGTTACATATTATGACCTTCAATACACAATGTGAAGTGATAAAACAATTACCTTTGTTGTACTTGCAGAACCTCCTCTGGATGTTGGTTTATTTGCATTCTTTCTTCTCTCTGAAGAAAAGAAATATATTGCTGCATTATTATTATGTTAACCTAGTACATGATAAAAGCAAATTCTGCAATTTCCCTCACACTGATTTATTGTACCTCCCTGAGGCAGGCATTGGTCCCAGGGCTGCCATTTTCTGATAGGTGTAAATCCCAAGGACCCCAAAAACTTAACAACCACTTTAGAATTTCCATCCTTTTAGAGTAATTTGGTAATTTTTTGTACAAATGAAATTTGATCTTCTGTATTGTTTAGCCACTTTAAGATACACAGTTTACAAGCCTTTGATTGTAACTAACAAGTTACAACAAAAACACTCTCAGGTATAATCAGGGCTTTTTTTCACAGGTTGGGGAAGCAGCCCAGCCCATAATTTTGGGGAAAAATTACACGGTATATTTGCAAAAGGGGAAGAAAAAACTTGATGTAAATTAAATTTTTGAGGAAAACTGCATGATTTTAAAGAAATTTTCTTTGGGGAAGCAGCCCTATACCGGCCCCTATTATAGAAGGAACAAGCAATTATCATAGAATTGCAAGCAATCCATAAGTCCCCTACCGGTTAGAACCCCAGCAACATTCTGAAGGGCCATTGGCAATTCACTTATGTTTCTATTTTAAGTAAATTTGTTGAAAAAGTTCTTTAAAAGTGATCACAGGAAACAGTTTTTATGTACAGACAGACGGACTGAAGGACACTCTACAGTTATTTTTTAAACATCCCAGTTATCAAAATATAACATTTTTAAAAGCAAAATTTTTAAAAAGGAGATAACTCTTGAAATAAAGATGCAAGATGTCATACATGATGTGAGTGTAACAAAGAACAATTCGTAATGAAGGTATGAATAATGAATGTTTATTTTGAATTTGAAGTAATGAAAGTTAAAAGAACGAATAAGAAAAATTAAAAGTTTAAGGAGGAGATAATTCTGGAAATATGGATGCTAGATTTATAAACCTTGTCATATTATTATGATGTGGTAGTTTGAAGAAAATCCTATCATGATTGAAGAAGTTGGAGTAAAAATTACCAATTTCTCGAAAAAAAGTCTAAGTTCAAAAGGGGCATAATTCATGAAATAGTCTTGCTAGAGTATTGAACTTTCTCACAAATGTTGAGTGATAATAAGAAACATATATATGAAGTTTGAAGTAGATACATTCAGAAAAAAAGAAGTTATTAAAAAAAAAATATTTTTTTCATGAAAATTTTAAGTTTAAGAGAGGTAATTCTGATAAATTTTGTGCTAGAGTTGTAAACTTTGTCACATATGATGTGGTTGATGACTAGCAACTTATATTTAAAGTTTGAAGAAAATACCTTAAGAAATAAAGAATTTATAGTGAAAAAACTTAAAAACTAGAATCAGAAATCTTGAAATTCAGTCTATTTGTTGCCATAGCAACCAGAATTTTCAACATAGGAAGATAAGAAAAGGATGTGCATAATTTCCATACTGCCATCTACCCATATGTCAAGTTTCATAAAAATATATTCAGTACTTTTTGCGTTATCACTGGATCCAGGTTATGTGTAAAATTTGCCATATTTTCAGTCTATTTGTTGCCATAGCAACCAAAATTTTCAGCATAGGAAGAAAAGAAAAAGACGTGCATAATCTCCATACTGCCATCTATCCATATATCAAGTTTCATAAAAATATTTTCAGTACTTTTTGCGTTATCACGGGATCCAGTTTTGTGGACTGATGGACAGACAGACAGACAGACAGACGGACGGACAGACGGACGGAGGGTAAACCTAAAGTCCCCTCCGGTAAACCGGTAGGGGACTAACAAGAGCTGTCACAGGAGACAGTGAAGCTCGACTAATAAAATACTGGACGCAGTCAGGAAGACAAAACTATGAAAGAAAAATCAATTATGTATAATTATGTATCAAGTTGTAGTAAAAAAAATAACATTGTTAACATAAATTCCAAGATCAAGGGGAATATTTCTAGAAATAGTCATGCTAGAGTTATGAACCTTGTCACAACATGTGTAATGATAAGAAATATATATTTGAAGTTTGAAGAAGATAACTTAAAAGTAAAGAAGTTATCCCGATAATATTTCTTAAAGAAATCCTAAGTTCAAAGAGAGATAAATCTGTAAATATTGCTTCAAGAGTTATGAACATTGTCACATAAAATGTAATTAATGATAAGGAATAAGTATTTGAAGTTTGAGGTAGATACCTTTAAAACTAAAAAAGTTATAGTAAAAAAATAACATTTTTCAAGTAAAAAAATCTAAGTTTATGGGGAGATAATTCTTGAAATATTGGTACTAGAGTTATGAACCTTGTCACATAACATGTGGTTAATGATAAGGTACACATATTTGAAATATGAAGTTGATCCCTTAAGAAATAAACAAGTAACAGTAAAAAATAATATTTTTTAAGGAAAATTCTAAGTTCAAGGGGAGATAAATCTGAAAATATTGGTGCTAGAAAAATGAACCTTGTCACATAAGATGTGGATGAAGATAAGGTACATATATTTGAAGTACGAAATTGATCCCTTAAGAAATAAAGAAGTAACAGTAAAAAATAGTATTTATAAGGAAAATTCTAAGTTCAAGGGGAGATAAATCTGAAAATATTGGTGCTAGAGTTATGAACCTTGTCACATAATATGTGGTTGATGATAAGGAACATAATGTATATTTGAAGTATGAAGTTTATCCCTTAAAAATATAAGTAATAGTAAAAAATAGTATTTTGTAAGGAAAATTCTAAGTTCAAGGGGAGATAAATCTAAAAATATTAGTGCTAGAGTTATGAACCTTGTCACATAAGATGTGGTTGATGATAAGGAACATATATTTGAAGTTTGAAGTTGATACCTTAAGAAATGACAAAGTTATAATGAAAACTATTTTACTGCACCAAAACTTTAATCTGAAATCTGGACGCGGAAGCCGGGGCGAGTAGGACAGCTCTCCATATACTTCGTATAGTCGAGCTAAAAACGGCCCTCATAATATATTTTGTTGCTTCTGTTCTTGATTTACTTCTATGCCCCTTTGTTTACTATGTTATTTCATGACCTGGTCATACAGGGGAATAATCTATTCTGCGCATGCCCAATTATTGAGACCCTTAATGGATTATTTTAGATAGGTTTTACTTTTACATCTTCTCTATGTTATCTTAGCAGACAATCATAACATATTTTAATGATTAAAAATATATCTAAATTTAGTCCAAACAGTATTTCGTTGTTGTCTTTAACAAACAAATACAAATTAAAAACCATATAAGGAAATGGGTCACGGCCGATTTTCTAACCAAGGGAGGAAACTACATGAAATATAAATAAAATTAATTGTCTGGCTTTTACAGGCTTCATGATGACCAAAAGGTATGACAAAGAATAGAATTCAATTAAATATATAAAAATTTTAATGATTTATGAAGAAATAATAATTGAGTTTATAGTGTTAATTTCCATTACAACCCATATATTGGCCTCTTCGTAACAAACATCGCTGTTGTGTCTATTTTTAGTGACACCTTGGTTTTTTTTCCAATATTTTAACCTTGCCATTCAAAAGTCGTCGTTCCCTTGCTGATTCTTTAAAGATTAATATCAATTTACAACTTAACACAATGTCCGGTAAATTGAGTTGTCAACACTATTTTTTTCTCTTATAATGCCCTACTTTGAAGACACATTTTTATGGTCAAAATGTTAAATTTCGTGTTTGATAAAGTAATGTTTACAATGTATTAAGCACCCAAAAGCAAATGAGTAAAATTCCATTCTTTTGTCTAGTTTTAGATTAAATTTACAGCCAAAAACACATCATATTTTGTCCGGTAATATGAAAGATCCCAGTATATGTTAATAAGCAAGCTAGGAAAGTGAGCTTTATGGTAACGCGAGTACTTGCTAGATAGTTATGGTTTTGAAAACTTTTGCCAGAAGTACTACAAAATTTTTGGTATTTCATTAATGATAAATTGCAACTTTTCGAATTACAAGATAAGGATAAACGGATGTGTAGACTGGTCTTCTGCGCACTTCTATGGGACCATAACTGGACAGGGAACCAAAGTAAACGGAAGCAGTGCATAAAATGTCGAATGGCACATTTAAAACGGGAAAAAGATCACATAAAACATAAATTGATGATAAAATGGCCGTACATAGTGTGTGGTTGTGTTGAGTGAATTGATCGGCCGAAGGTATGCAGTTCAAAGTGTATTGAAAACATATAATGTGAAGCCGCCGATGGGTTTTAATTAAAATATTCTATAATTTCTTTTGAGGCTTTGCCTTTGAATATTCATATTGACTGGAAAAAAAAAACACTTCCAATTTTGGGATGCACCAATTAGTGTATATCATGTTGATTTTCGAAAAAGTGCAAGAATTACCAGTGTAAATAGATCTAACATTATTGAACATATTTATTATTTAGTTTCAGGGTAGTTCTAGGAATATTATCTATAGTAAGTGCAGGTGGCATTATTCACTCTGCTATATTAACAAAGTAATGGGTATTCAATGGTTAACGACTCTATAAGTGAAGGAATTTTGTCTTATTGCCTTAAGTGGTCTTAACTTTTCTAATTTATAAATATGTCCTCGGATAACATAATTTGAATAACTTTTCATAGTCAATAAAAGCTCCATAGGACTTACTCTCTTTAAGTTTTTGACGGAAATCTGGATCACTTCTTCTCTTTTTGTCAAAATATATGCAATACCCTAGAAAACAAATACCAGCTCCAGCTGCTGCAATTCCTAAAGATGTTTTTGACAACATTTTATAAACGTGCTACTATTTCACTTTGAAATCGGAAATATTCTTGATTAAAATTGAGGAATAAATTCCTACTCAAAAGCTATGACATAAAGTGCGAAAAAAAAAACGATAAAATAGTGAAATAATTTTTTTCTCTCCAAAATTTATTATTATGACAAACTTGTTGTAAAAAAAGAGAATCTTAATTTTGCAACAATTGTTAACTTTTTTTCCTTCTTAGCGCATATGGTCATTTGTGTTCTTTAAAAAAAAAAACTTCGTGACGGATATTTCATGTCCCATTTTGATTGTGATTAGCATTTGAGAAAGAGATGCAGACACACTTGAGTCGTCTGCAAAAAGTTCGTCTTTAAAGTATTTTAGATCATTTATTCCGAACGGTCATAGGACGTGCGTTGAACAAAGCTTATTTTGTTTGACCTGGGTCCATTCACTACTATACTGACTGTGACCTTTTGTCCAAAGAACTTACTCCATCTGTATAAATGCTGCTTAAAGAGGTTCGTAGTTGATCACATGGAAGATATTTTAGAAGTCAAAGTACGGCCCTAATTGAAATTAAAGCCGTGGTCAAAGGTATGTTATCAACTTGACCTTCTGACTCATACCTTGAAAAAAAGTCAAGGAGTTGAGTAGGGCAGGAACTCTATTTCTCGGAAAATCAAGGACCAATTTCCAAAAACTATATCAATTGTCTAGTTATAAAGAAAGAGAAAATACTTAAGATATATTCGACGTTAGTTGCCGGGGGATGGAGGGGTGAGGGTCTGACCTTGAAATAACAGTCAAAAGGGAAAAAAAACACTGTCAAATGTCTTAAACTGGTGCAACTATATGGTGCAACCATATGGCGGAGTGCTTAAATCATTGAAGGTTTCTTCTAAAAAAATAAATAAATGTGGCATATTATTTTGGTGGTGACGAATGGCCTTATTCGGCCATGTAATCGTGGTTGAGATTTATGAGGTCCTCCACAAGAATGTCAGTGTCAAGCCAAGCTGAATATAAACTCACTCTTAGCGCAAACATATACCAATTGTATAAGTTTAATAGTAAAATCTTGATATTATTTTTGACTTTCTTGATGCTCTCCTTTATACCTGAATTTAAAGTATTGTTCAACCGGCTTCATATGTGTTTGCTTAGTTTATTTCATTAACAAAATGTTAATATTTTTATGCTTTGTTAACAGACCTTTAATGAACATGTATTCTACAATAACTCAGAGTCGTTTTAATAAGCTTCAAACATTTTCTTCATAAGTTTTAAAATTATTTCAAATTGCCTCGTTTTACGTTAATGAAAATGAGTATTTTATGTAACGTTATTGTTTTATCTGAAACATAATTATGCATGCATCCTAATTCAACCAGCCAAGCATATTTTTTCATGAGCTTGAAATATTACATAGAAAAATCGGCGAGGCGCTATATAAATTATATGTATGTATACTGATGTTAAACTAAGTTTCTTGATCTAGTACATGCAGTTTCTGTGCAACAGATTTTACTGCCTTATATATGACATGTTTTTGATAGAAGTAACTCAAAAACATATATTGCACTCTTTGCCTCAGCAATTGGCCAGCTAACATGTTTATATAGATATTGTGTCTACATGATTGGCCTGATGACTTCAGGCATATATTGTTAGGGAACAAAGGAGCGCGATCATCATAAACATCTTGTTGAGATTACATTGTAATTCTTAACAGAGAAAATAGGAATCCCTAAAGAAAGTCCAAAACGGCAAAATTGAAAATGTTGCAGGCTCGGTTCTGGCTCAAACCTATGTATGAAGTACTGAATGTTATAGGAATGTCTTATTGAATTAGAGATTCCATTGTTGCCTCAGCACAGAAATAGTACATAGGTACCTATAAATACACCTTCTAGCCAAAGAAATGTACAAAATATGGTATATATTTCAGTATTATCAACATATGAAAAAATGTCTGCTTTAATTTCATGATAACTATAATATTCATAATAAATTTATTTATCTTCGAATATATTTAATGCTAGATATGAACTTCATTGATGTAGGGAGTATGGAAAACAACCGAATGGTTTAAATGATAAAACGTATACACCGATTGGGATATGTTTAGACTATGGTGAATATTTAAAAGAAAAAGAGGAAAACATAGCGCCTTACTTTAGTCTACGAGTTAAAGTGGAGCATGTCCAACTGGCTGGTCTTCTTTGGACATATTCAATCTGATCTATTTGCATTTGGTCATAAGGAGACCATAGTTCGTATTCTTATGCAAATGGCTGACAAATTAAAGCATTAATGCATTTGTGGTTTGCTTTTAGCAGTCCATGACAAAGCTCAATTAAACCGAATCTGCAATATTTTAATTCTGCCGTATGTGCTTTATAAAGGGATTCCATTTTCTCTATTTTATTGTAAAAAGTCGCCCTCACATTTAAAAGATGTTATACTTCGATTCTCGAGGATCGTCAGCACGGCATTAATGTGTGCTTATTTGTTGTGTTTTTAGTTGTTATTACTATTTGATCTTTTTCTGGTTGGATGATTCCAGTTCTCCTACTTGAATACTGTTTAATCACTATAAGGATATGCTACCAGCTTTTTAGATTTGTCTTTTGACGTCTTTACTCACGGGGGAGGAAGTGTTACACGAAGGATGGAGTTCTTATGATAACTTGTTTGGAGTTCTTATGATAACTGTCACGGAGTTCCTGGAAAACGTTACGGATTTCTGTGGAAAACTTTTCTATATACTTGGAGAACTCGCGTAAATAATGGTTATTTTTAACTTTAAATGGGGAGTTTGAGGTGCTAAATTAAACTTTGATAATTAAGCTTGCCCTACATATTGAATTATGTTTCAGAAAAAATCTTTTAGTCCATATTTCGTCGCCGTTTAAAAAAAAAATCTGGTAGTTTTGAGAAAAATTTCCAAATTATTTGCTAATTCGTACATATTGACCTTTTCATTTGTGATCTTCTTCGTTGCTATACATAATCACCTAATTATAGTGGAGAGTTCCAAACATAAAGCCCGGGCTAATAAATGAATACCCGATTTTTCTAATGTTACGGAGTTCTTGAGATAACTCAAAATATGTCCTGGAGTTCTTGTGATAACTTTTGTTACTGCCAGTGTGTTTCTTGTGCTTGATTACGGCACATTTAAGCTTATTTTATTAGTCAATAAGTGTATAAATCATTATGAAGCATAGTACGCTTATCATTTGCACAAAAATTTGGTTATATAACGTTGGTTTTGATCGTGTTTTAGTTCCTAATTAAATTTGTGCGAAATCATATTGACATTATAAAACCCAACGAATGCACTAAATGTTTCTGTGTATACTGTTCGTCAACAAAAGTTTTATGTCATAAGTTTCCGCAAATGCAACATTGAGGCCATGTGGCAAAATTAAAACACGATCATTCAATATATCTGGAGAAGACATGAAACTGCTTTGGTGTACAGTCTATATAGGATAAACAGGTGCTAAGCTATCTTCAGGAACGACCGCCTCCGTGGTCGAGGGGTTTGAATCGATGACTTCTAATCCAGTTACCTCTCTGACGTGGGTTCGATCCCCGGGAGATGCTTTGGTAGTTTAGCACGGAGGAAGGTAGTCTAGTACTGGTGTAACTCTCCAGGAATGATGGTTAGGAAACTACCATTAGAATTCTGCTTAAGCCGGTGCTAGGGGGCGTGGACGGTAACTTGCACTTTACAGTACCGTCCATGAACCAGCTCAATCAAACCGAGCCTGCAACATTTTCAATTTTGTTGTGTTGGATTTTCTTAAGGGATTCTGTTTTTCTCTATTTTGTTCGATTACATCTTAGAACTGTTCTCAAAAGTCAATCGAGGTCAAAATTTTAATTCTCGTAATTCCTCGAAAAAATATCACATGACGAGATTTCAAAAGAGAGCACAACCGAACTAGCAACCTAAAACAGGAGAAAATCGAAGAAAAGTACCTTTTCTGAGCATAAATTGTCCCCATATTCTATCTGGATTAAGTAAATTACACGAGTCATTACCATATATTCAAACGGATCAACGTTTATAATATAGAAATTCGTTACAGACTAGAAGGAACTCGTGAAATGGTTTCTACGGATTTGTCAAACATGAGACGATAACCATGTTCTGATTCATTGAAGGGCTGTACTTTTCCCTTTCACGAGGACCTCTTGAGTCCTAAACAGACACAACAATGACTTCGAAGTCGGGGATCACGGACAGAATTGACCCATTTGTGAATAAAGCTTCAATTAAGTCAAAGAAGCAAAAAAGATCTCAGGGTTCATCTCATTACAGAACTAAAAATGCTCCAGAATTGCAAGCATTACCTCATTTGAAAGGTACTTCAACGTTTCTATTCTGTGGATTCTAAGGATGTTATGTGATAGAATGTGTTTTATTATTAACTAAATATCATATGCATTCATTTCTTCATATGTAGATCTATAACTGAAAATTAATTACATGTAGATACTAATGTTTACAGTCATTGAATTTTAGCTAGCATGTAGAATCTACTAGCTTGGGATTCAGGTGTTGATATTTTTTGCACATTCATAACATACGCGCTATTTCATGCTCGACCTTGTTTTGATAATATCAACGCATGTGTTTCCCATGTAATTATTAACTAATGATAATCCTATAAATAGACCGAAAAGCACGTGACCAACAAATTACATGAATAAATCGAAATCAAGGTAAAAAAGCTGAATGATGAAAATTTTACGCCATTTACCATTATAAATTGCATCCAGCACATATCTCAGATGCTCTCGGACTTCATGCACACGGACTTTGTCTTTAAGTAATCAAACATGTTGATCAAATTCACTTATCAAGCAATAAACTATGTCATCGAGTATAAAAACTCTCAATTTTTAATCGGAAATATTGTTTTGTAAGCGAGGCTCCGTGACTGTTGGTTGAGTTTCGGGTCTCTGTGTGGAAATTTTGTTTCTATTTTTAAAAACTAGTTTGTAGTTGCATGAATTATCGTTCTCTTAATTACATAAGTAATTTTCGACTGTATACTAGGTGGCCCTTCGATCAAAAATTGTATTCTGCATGCCCATACATAATCTTCATTTAAACGAAGGAGTGGGGTATCCACAATTTGCATCTGGCAAAGCACATTTATATAAACTTAGTGAGATATATTGGCGATAAATTCATAATTAATGATTTTAATTTAAAATGATTGTTTACTTTGTCTGAATTGGGAATATACAATGTCTTGGACAATTGGGAAAAACTGACAACACATCATAAACATAAAATATTATATAGAAATCAAATATTTCCTTAATTAAAATCATTTAGTATTTCACACTGACGAAAATTACAATTTGGACTGCAATACTGATATTTTCTATGGCACTGTGTGATCGATGTAATCAAACAACACTAATTTTACTTATTTATTTTTGTTCTTTGAATTGGGAATTTTCTCCTTGAAATTGGCATTGGGAACATGACTCAATATTGGTCATTAAAAAGGGCCAGAAAAACACTGAAAACAGATAGATTATTTAAATTTTTGATACAATAACATGGCTCATATAAAACATACAGAAAAACTGAAACAAAACTGAAGTTGTTTGAAGTTATAATTAGCCATGTTAGACAATATTGTATAATCAAAGATTACACAATGAGAGAGTTAAAACCAATTATTATTTCAATTGTGGTTTTAAAGAGGCAGTATATTGTTACAGGAATTTTAATATATCACAATAGGCACAGAAAATGCACAACTATGAAATAGAAAAAGAAGACATTTCCAAATAAAACAAAAATACAATATTCTAGATAGTGCAAATAACATTGTGAAAAAATATAAATCTACCATTATAATATAATACAAAAAGAATGGTCATGAGCCAGGCTAGTTTTACTGTCTAAAAAGGAACAAAACCTGAATTTGATCAATTTAAGTTGTAATGCATCAAGGAATGGTCTTTTCAAACATTGTGGTAAAATACTCATCCCTGTAGCTTCTTATTTCATCATAATCATATGCCTAAAAATAAACAGTTTCCTGAATCCGTCTGATAACATTTTAATATTATACATGTAACAAAACAACTTTATTCAAATGTGACAGGAACTTAAATACACAACTAATCATACAAATGTACATGTAAATGTTAGCAGACAGCTTATAAATAATGTAAATCAAAACATGACTGTATTAAGGTTTATTTTTCTAAATGTTGATTTATTTTTTACCAAATTCTTTTGCTAAATATCAATAGTAGGAAAGAAAGTTCTGTTCTAGGACTCACAATTCACAAGCAGTTTATTAAATTTTAGTTATTGATATAATTATATTGATTAATCATTTATAATTAAAGTTTTGTTTTTATTTATATATTTTGTACCTATAATACTAAATGAACATTTCCTGAAATTCAGAATTTAGTAGGGCTAGTCCATTTTATAAATGTATGATGAATAATAAAACTTGCACAGCTTTTATGTCACATGTTCAGGTTTTCCACCAGATTTCTGTATTATTTAAACTACACAGTTTATTGACAAGCTGTACTGTATTCAACACGTTGTGTCATAAAAAGATGCAAGATCTCTAAGGCAGTGTCAGGAACAATGGCATATTGATTTGTCACCTGCACACTGTATTTGATGTAAGGGTGTTGGAGAATGCTCACAGCTTGACTTCTCTTTACTTAACCTTGTCAATACTATTATTATGTTTAATAGTAAATAAATTTATATGCTTTTTTGTTGGTTAGTTGAGATTTACATTAAAAATATGATGACCATCTGATATATGTTTTAATGATAGTAGTATTATAGACAAACTGGAAAAACACAACATAAATAACTGATTCACTATACAGTATAGTTAATCAGTTATTTACAGTAAACATGTAGTTAATCAGTTATTTATGATGTGTTTTTCCAGTTTGTCTTCATTTATTTTTTCCTCCTTTAATGTGATTAGTAGGTAGGTCTCATATGGTTCTTGGCCGATTATAGCTGGGTCATTGTCTTGCTTAAAATGAAAAGACTTTATTTTTTCTAGGAAAAAAGCTTCATACAAAATGCAAAGAATGGAAGTTAAATAGTTCAAGGCAATAGATTGCGACCAATTTGATATTATATAAACAGACAAAGTATGTAAATGAAGTTAACTACCTTTGAAAGTCATTAACATCAAAAACCAAGGCATAAACAACATTACCTGGTAATGTTCCTTTACAAATGAAATTCATGAGTTGTTTCCCTTAACTTGGAGCTTTTGCATGTTCTCATTTTATGCAGCAGCTGTTGATCTTAATTTCTTTGACTTTTGTGTCATTTATTTACAGGAGATAACAGAAAGACAATAGAGAGAAATATTGATGTGTTGTTTCCTATTGCCTTGAGAAAATTACTAACAGAATAATCCTTGTTAGAGACATGCAATATTGGAATTTGTTTTAAATTACTCTGTCAATTTTGCATTTAAGAGGTTTTCCTTTTTACATATTGTGTTGCTGATACTGTTATTTAATTACATTAAGTGTAGAAATTTTGCTGAAGTGTAATCCGCTTAAAATAAAATTTGGTTTTTCCCTTGCAAAATAATTAAAATCTAATTAGTTAAAAGTTAACTTCTCATTTGATTCTTAAGTATAAGGTTTATACACCAATTTTGTCACTTCATAGACCATATGTTTACAATTTTATTAGTACGTTTTAAGGTATTGCTAATTCTGAGGAAGTCCCAGTATAATATTGTATTGACAATAGCTATTGACTTGTCTATTTGTAATACATCTATATCAAGTATGGAAAAATATAAGTAATAAGTTTCTGTGAAACTGGCTGGTTATCAACTTAATTTTGTTCCATAATTCCTGATGTTTTGATTGATGAGCTTTCTTTATTGATAGTACTCCAAGAGTTTCTCCTTCAGTAAAACGAAATATAGTACAATTTTCTTTATTCTTCTTCCATGAAATGATACTGTTTTAGAATGCTGCATCAGATAAAATTTATTTCTTTTTCTTAACACTACAGTAATCCCAAATTCTATTCATGATTTTACAAATATAATTCAGATCAAGGTACTAACAGTTTCTCAAATCCACAAGACAGTCAAGTGAAAAAGTAATACCTCTTGCAGCCCTTTTCCCCCTATCTCAGGGGTCCGAATATCAACCCCATTCCCCATCGAAATTATGTCGTTTTTTCCCAATCGAATATTCCCAATCTAGAAGTCGGCAATTTGAAAGAAAAATTAACGCAATTTCAATTTTGGTGTCTGACTCTTTTGATATCTTATAATTAGGTTCCTTATACTTCAATTTATGTTGAAAAATATTTTTGTTTGTCTTTTTAGATACAGCTCCGGCTGAACAACAAGAATTGTTTATAAAGAAACTGCAGCAATGTTGTGCGGTGTTCGACTTTATGGACCCTGTCTCGGACCTGAAGAGCAAGGAGGTGAAACGAGCTTGTCTAAATGAGCTAGTAGACTATATCACAGCAACAAGGGGGGTTCTAGCTGAACCAGTATACCCAGAGATTGTCAGAATGGTCAGTATATTATGTTTATTTTACAAGAATTAGATACCCTGTAAGCATAGCATAATATGGCTTTATGCAGTGTAAGACCCTGGATTGATTGATGTGTAGGGGATATTGTTTTTTGGGTCTGTTTGTTTGCATGTCTGTCTTTGGCCACAACATTTTAACTTTGATTGAAACACAGAAATTCTTCCACCTATAGCTTCAAAACTTCACAGTGCATTCACCTTGGTAAGCTCTACCCTCCAGACCCACTTGGATGTCACAGGAGGCATAGCATTAACTAGATTTTGACAAGAACAAACTTAAAGTTACAAAATGAGAATTTAAACATCATTCTTCTGTTTAAAGAATGATATGTCATTTAGTTTAGTAATAAATTGTAGACAATTACAAGTCTCTAAATCCACAGTATTGTTCAAGACGTTTTACCAGACAATAGAAGATTATGTCACCATGTAGTGATATCTCAGCATTGTATGACGATACTGCATCGTGAGGTGATGATACTGCATAGTGAGGGGAATAATCATATTTCGTACATGCAAGGATGATATCTGATCATCTCTAACTTATATAATTTAAACATTTTGCTAACATTACCATCCTCACATTAAGGTTGTAATCTTGTCATTATCTATTGGTGGTCTCTTTTCAAAAAACTTTTGACTTGACTGTTTTTAAATACACCTTTTGTTATGGTAGACAATCAAGAACTGTTTCAGTATTCCTCCTTTAATTAAACATGTTAGATTAAATGAAAGCTACAAGAAAGTTTGTCAATTGACATGTTGAAAGAAGAAAAAACTTAATGAATTCAGAGCATGATCCTGTTTATTTCATACATTTGTTTTGCTTGCTTTTGTGCCAAAAAGCATTGGTACATTTTTGAAGGCAATGACCAAAAGCAGTGTTCCCATATTTAGAATACATGCAATGTCCTTTGTCTTTACAATGTTACAATACAGGGATTTGAGGTCATTTTAAATTATTGCTGCAGACAGCAATGTTATTTTTATCAAGGATCGTTTGATAAAATCAATACAAGTGTATTATCTGACTTTACTTACTACTTATTCTCAGCAACTGATGTCAGGCACGTTCATTTCCATTGATTTCAAAAATGTGAACAATAAGAATTTCCCGTTCATTTGAAAAAATTGATGTTTTGGAATGATTGTCAGCACTGTTTTCAGTTAAGATAAGCTTTCTAACGAAAAATTAATAGAGTTGTATGTATGTGTCTTTGAATTATTGAGCCCATTTAATTTTTGAAGATAAGTGTTGCTGATAAATATTAGCAAAGAGTTTATTTCTAACTTTGATCTAAAATTTTGAAAAATTATGCCAGAGCTTGTTATGTTACTATTATGTTATGAAAACTTGACACTTAAAGAAAAGTCTGTGCTTAGGTCTATAAAAAGACATCTTGTTTATGAATTGAATTTGTGCTTGGCCAAAATCTAATTTTGCAGGAACATTATCTGGTTTTCTCAGGAAAATGTCTCGTAATTATGTCATGTTGGTTCAATAGTGTTGCCTCATGATCAGAAATTCTGCTTGAATGTCTTGATGTCAAATTATTCATTTTTGTCATCATCATTATGATAACTAAAAAATACTTTTATTAGTCCCCTACCGGTTTACCGGAGGGGACTTTAGGTTTACCCTCCGTCCGTCTGTCCGTCCGTCCGTCAGTCCGTCCGTCCACAAAACTGGATCCCGCGATAACGCAAAAAGTACTGAAAATATTTTAATGAAACTTGATATATGGATAGATGGCAGTATGGAGATTATGCACGTCTTTTTCTTTTCTTCCTATGTTGAAAATTCTGGTTGCTATGGCAACAAATAGACTGAAAATATGGCAAATTTTACACATAACCTGGATCCAGTGATAACACAAAAAGTACTGAAAATATGTTTATGAAACTTGACATATGGGTAGATTGCAGTATGGAAATTATGCACATCCTTTTTTATCTTCCTATGTTGAAAATTCTGGTTGCTATGGCAACAAATAGACTGAATTTCAAGATTTCTTTTCTAGTTTTTAAGTTTTTTCACTATAAGTTCTTTATTTCTTAAGGTATTTTCTTCAAACTTTAAATATAAGTTGCTTGTCATCAACCACATCATATGTGACAAGGTTTACAACTCTAGCACAAAATTTATCAGAATTACCTCCCTTGAACTTAAAATTTTCATGAAAAAAACATTGATTTTTTTAATAACTTCTTTTTCTGAATGTATCTACTTCAAACTTCATATAAATGTTTCTTATTGTCACTCAACATTTGTGAGTGTTCAATACTCTAGCAAGACTATTTCCAGAATTATGCCCCTTTTGAACTTAGACTTTTTTTTGAGAAATTGGTAATTTTTACTCCAACTTCTTCAATCATGATAGGATTTTAAAAATGTTTTATTTTGATAACAGGGATGTTTAAAAAATAACTTTAGAGTGTCCTTCAGTACGTCTGTCTGTACATAAAAACTGTTTCCTGTGATCACTTTTAAAGAACTTTTTCAACAAATTTACTTAAAATAGGAACCTAAGTGAATGGCCAATGGCCCTTCAGAATGTTGCTTGGGCTCTTACCGGTAGGGGACTTATGGATTGCTTGCAATACTATGATAATTGCTTGTTCATACTGTATTAACAAAACTTAATTTAAAGATGATATTCTGATACAGCCATAAAACAGATATAATACAGTTTTTAGCTCGACTATTCGATAAGAATAAGTAGAGCTATTGCAGTCACCCGAGCGTCGGCGTCGGCGTAACCACTTATGTTAAAGTTTTTGTAATAGTTCAAATATTTTCAAAGTCCATTGACATATGGCTTTGAAACTTTGCACACTTGTTCACCATCATGACCCCAACCTGTAGACAGGAGGAGGTAACTCTATCAAGCATTTTGACAGAATTATGCCCCTTTTTCGACTTAGAATTTACGTTAAAGTTTTTGTAATAGTTCAAATATTTTTAAAGTCCATTGACATATGGCTTTGAAACTTTGCACACTTGTTCACCATCATGACCCCAACCTGTAAACAGGAGGAGGTAACTCTATCAAGCATTTTGACAGAATTATGCCCCTTTTTCGACTTAGAATTTACGTTAAAGTTTTTGTAATAGTTCAAATATTTTCAAAGTCCATTGACATATGGCTTTGAAACTTTGCACACTTGTTCACCATCATGACCCCAACCTGTAGACAGGAGGAGGTAACTCTATCAAGCATTTTGACAGAATTATGCCCCTTTTTCGACTTAGAATTTACGTTAAAGTTTTTGTAATAGTTCAAATATTTTCAAAGTCCATTGACATATGGCTTTGAAACTTTGCACACTTGTTCACCATCATGACCCCAACCTGTAAACAGGAGGAGGTAACTCTATCAAGCATTTTGACAGAATTATGCCCCTTTTTCGACTTAGAATTTACGTTAAAGTTTTTGTAATAGTTCAAATATTTTCAAAGTCCATTGACATATGGCTTTGAAACTCTGCACACTTGTTCACCATCATGACCCCAACCTGTAAACAGGAGGAGGTAACTGTATCAGGCATTTTTTTTACTATCAAGCACTAAGAATAGTCGAGCATGCTGTCCTACCGACAGCTCTTGTTTAAAGTAATGAATTTCTGGTATTTTAGATTACATGATTGTAATAATTTTTTTTAAGTTACTGACCCACAAACTATGTGCATGGTTGGAAATTGAGATAATATATACATTCCAGATATCAACCAATATTTCCAAAATAAGTATTATCAATATATACATATTTCATTAAGTTTCAGGGGGGGGGGGGTTAAAAAAAAAGTGAAATAAACATTAACATCATTTCATTATTCATTACATAGTGCTGCTAACAGTTCTTACTTTAAG